TTTTTTTTTTGGGGGGGGGGGGAGAGATGCAGAGTCATCATCATTTTTATTGTTGCTGTGAATTCTTCTGAGGTTTTTTTTTCCCTTGATCAGAATTGTTTTCTGTTTGAAGTTGAAAGTGTGTGTTTGGTGTGTGCCGGACGGTATTGTACCATTGTGTGGTGTGTGTGTTGATGGACTGTGGAAATAAAAGTTTTGGACAACTATACACATTGATTTACTCTCTCGTTTATTGTCTGACAACAACTATACACATTGATTCACTCTCTCGTTTGTTGTCTGACAACAACTATACACATTGATTCACTCTCTCGTTTGTTGTCTGTTTATAAATGTTACAACTACAGGGTGATCCAAAAAAAACGTTACAACTTGTTTTGTAAATATCTTCCTCCATACTGAAGTTTTGCGTTTCAGATTTGAACATAACGTTTTTAAGCCAAAAGGAGTTTTGTCTGATATGTATTTTAGATCAAGTCCATTGAATGGTTTTGCTCTATATAGCGCATTAAAAAAACAACCCATTTTCAACCTTGTCGCCATTTTCATAGCATGACGCACCACTTCGCTTTAGGCATACCACTAAAAGTTGCAATAATCGCGCCATATTGCGAGCTACAGAAGTCTAACAAGTCAACAGAAGTCTGCAGATATTATTTTTCCCAAATTTCGTTAGCCTGCTGAGATCATGGCTACGTTTAGTATAGAGCAGAGAGCTTTTTGTATTGAACATTACCTCTCCACAAACTCACCATCCCTGATATTTCGTAAGTTCTTCGCAGGTGGCGTCATGAGTAGAGAAGTTCCGTCAGTTTTGAATCTATAGCGAATCAGAACTAAAAACTTCTTTAAAAAATGACCACTTCAGGTCGAACATGCACCATGCAGAGTCATCAGAGTGCGGTTTTCAGAAGCCGAGTCCCATGAGACGTCTATCCGTAGACGATCTGCAGCTAGGACTTTCCTACACATCAACATTCTGCATTCTCATGGCAGATCTTAACCTACGACTATAC